TTTTCTTCTCTAATTCAACTATCAAATTGACACTTTTTGAATTTGATAGGAAAATTAGAATGTTGCTAAATTGTTTTAGGGGATCTTCATAGAATTGATAGAGCATCTCTAGTTAGATCACAATTATATAAAAATACTCGTTTTTCTTTGTTTTTTCATATAATGTCTTAACATTTGCCATAAAAAACTTTCATACTATATATACAAATACTTGTATATCAATTTAAGTTATTACTTGCTTAACTGCCTCTATAATGTCTAATCCTCTTTAATTTCATATCTCCAACTTAGTCACTCATTTCTTTTCATGTGCTAATCACTATGTCAATTAATCAAATTACCAAATTAAGATAATATTATTATTTTTCCAAAAACTAAAAAATTATTTTTACCAAGATAATTTTTAATAGCACAATATGTCCTTTAAGTGTAATTACATAATCTAAACTAAAAATTTATAAATATAAATATTAATTTTTAAAAAAAAATTAATTAATTTTTTAAATTTATAATAATATTTTAGTATAAAAATAGCTTTTTAATTCTTCTAATTTTTTTATAGATAGTAAAAATTAATTCTTAACAAATAATTTTTTTTAATCTAAGAAGCATACAATTACAATAAAAAAAACATCAACTATAGTTAAAAAGGATAATAAACAAAAGACTCACAAATTCATTGTGTAAGAAAGTAATATTTATTAAAAAAAGGCATAAAATATCTTATTATATCTTTGAGCCTAAGAAAATCTTGGTGGTATTTAAGAGGTAATATCCTATACACTCTCATCAAAGAATGTAAAGTATGGATATTTATTCCAATACTCCTTCTTACATACTCATTTATTATATTGCTATTGGATAGATGAATCACGTTTAGCAAGCATATATATACTCTTCAATAGGAATCATAAAGATTTATTGAGATGTTAGTATTTATTATAATTTAGTTTAAAAAAAATTTAAAATGATATTTTTTATATTATAGATGTAGGCACTAATTATCTCCTTCTAAATAATGTTATTTTTTTATTTCATCTTTTATCATGGATAGAATGATTGATGGAGAAATTTACCTTTGGTGAAGGTATGTAGTTTAAATAAGGTTTAAAAAATGAAGTATTAGAGCTCCTTTATGCTCCTAGATAGCCTCCTCTTCATTCAAACTAATTGGTTTGTAGCAGTTCTACTTCAAAAAAAATATTATGTACTTAAAAAAGGTGGTCAGCCAAGAATTTATTTTTCTTAGTTAGAGTGTTGATAAAAACATACATATAGTATCAACAAAAAGATGTTGGTGCAAGTTTACATTTAATAAAAAATAAAATTTGTATTATCTTTCATTTAAAAATTAAAAAAATATATTAAAATAATCTAGTCTAATCTTTTATTCAAAACCACAAGCAACAAGACAAGCTTTATATTTTGGAAATTGCCCATTTGTGGCAAATTTGATCTTGAATATCCATTGTGCAAAGATTATCTACTTTCTTGCTGGTAACTAAATAAGCTTCTACATATCATTTTGTATAATGGAATTGTATTCATATTTCATGAATTTAATTCACTTAGGATTGATGCAAATATTATTATATTTTAGATTTTTTTATTCCATTAATAAGATTAAATTAATTTTAAGTTAATAAAGTGCAACATATCCTCCTAAACAAGTTGAAGGACATTGCTTACATTTGAACCAACAAGGGATATGCTAAAAATTTACTAATTTAGTATATAAATATATATTAATTAGGAATCTAATTAAAAATTGAAATATTGTTATTTCCTCAAAAGATGGAGTATAGGGAACCAAGTCATATTGTGAAGGTAAAACTAATATAATATTTGGAGTAGATGCAATAATAAAAAAAATAATTAATAGAAAATTAGGTAGATTTGAGTATTTGTTGAAGACAAATGAGTTGATAGTTTTAATAGAATCAGTTAAATCTATTTGTGAAAATTTCATAATGCATATGTTGTGCAAGATTATAACTTTTATATAATAGTAATTTTTTAATATTATATTGAATGTAAGTAAAATATATATTTTAAATTGTGAATCAAGGTTACCTTATTTAAATGAGTTTTGGTGCTCAAATGCGGTACTTCCAAATACATGCAAATAAGCGATAAAAGGCTTGCATTCAATAAATAATTTTTTAAGAGTTGTTTTTGGAATTATCTTAAAAGGATATTAATTAAAGAAATTATACACTATCTTAAGTACTTTATTTCATAAATGATTTGAAAGATTCTTATCAAGTAATAAACATCAAACAATATTAAGCAACAAGCAATTGCAGCACTTTGCAACAATATTTTGTTATAGAAAATATAAGATTTTGAGTTGTTAACAGATTTATAATTCTTGGCAGTACTTGGTGAATTTTGTTGAGATAAATTTTCTATTGTTATCTATCATTAATATTTAGATATAGTGACTAATGATTTTTTTAACTTCACAAAAAAAAATTGAATTTAGTAAAAGTCTTTTCTTTGCAAATGAGCATATATGCCCATGTCATTTGTGAGAAGTCATCAATTATACTCAAGAAGTAATAAGTCTATTCTAACAATGAGATCTTTAAAATTTTGTAAAAAATTGAATATAAGAGTGTAAAAGGCTTATTAGCCTAAGCTTCACTAAACTTAAAAATTTTGATTTCTTGCTTCTTTTTTACAAAAATAATTTATCCAAGTTTCAAAAAGAAATTAGAGAAGAAGAATTTCAAGTACAATCTTATATTGGACCATGCACCAAATGTCATTAGTATAAAAGTAATCTAATTTTTTGTGCCAAATATTTGATTTGATTGGTTTATATATGATGATTGAATTATTTTTTCTTAATATTTCCATACTACCTTCAAGTTTGTATAAATCATATCTTTATATACGAGATGTATAAACTATTAGCTCTCTAACAAATCTATTATACATGAACCATCCTTCAAATAGAAATTCTAGACTATGATGATTGTTTGCAATGTTTCCAATAGATAGTAAATTCTTTTGGATTAAGAGTAAATATAAAAATTAAGAGATATTTTTGATGTTATCATTAGAAAATTTGACATTGGCATTGCTAAAACCTAGTATGTTATGGCCTTGTCGACATGCAAAATTGATATTAGAACATTGCTTTTATTTGAGATTAGAAAAAATAGTATGTTTTCTAATGATATGGTATGTTGCACTTAAGTCAAGGTACCAATTTTTCTCAAGTGATGATCCTTCAATACGATTAAGTTCTATAGATCTCTCTTTTATCAAAGATATTTAATGCAATTAAGAGTTGGATTTTAGCTTGATGGTAAAAGTTTCAACTTTGTTTCCAGCATTTAGATCTATAATTAATTTAGTTTTATTATTATTATCTTTGTTTAATGTGATATCTTTGAAAAACTAAATATGTTCTCTAAATACTTAGCAATGCTACTTTTGATAGCTAAATTTTAGATCTTTTATCCAATCAACTATTATTTAGTTATATTGTTTGATTTCAAAAAGTATTAGCCATAGATGTTGGTTAGAAAGACTTATATAGCCATTAAGTAGAAATCAAAGAACAACATTTATAGTAAGAACTCTTCAAAAAATGATAGAATTTTTAGTAATATAAAGAAATTCAACATCAATGCTTGTCATAGAACTTATTGCTAAGAAAAGAAGTGATGTTAAAGACATAGAAAGAAGATTTTAAAACCTTTAAAGAAGCTTTTATATCATTACAGATCTTTTTGGGATATTCTAATAACTTGGTAGAAGTATATGGTAGAAAGCTTAGAAACTAAGCTATATTAAGTGTTTCTTCAGAAAGCTTCTAGAATTCTTTAGAAATCAAATCATGAAATTTATTTAAATTACAAATCTTTTTAAAAAGCTTCTTGAGAGAATTTTTGAGACTTGGATAACTTCTTAACTAACTTATATAGTAAGTCATGAAAGGCTTGGATTCCAAGCTTTAGGTCCTAGAAGTAGTATAAGTAGAGATAAGAGTAAGGCTCTCTTCAATTTTATTAACTCATCTCTTATATTAGTTCTTTTTTTAGACTTTAGATTTATTTATTTATTTTTAATATGAATTATTAATTATTTTCTTGAATTATTTGAAATAAAAGAAGTCTTGAATTTAAGGCAGCAATAAAATAATTTAGAATATTTTTTATATTGGCAAAAATATGATATTAATATATATATATATAAGAGTGATCTAAGAATCTTAAAAATAAGCCATAACATAATTCTATTTTTTAAAAATATCATCTATTAAAACCAATAACCATCTATTAGAAAAAAGAATAGTATAAATCAAAGGAAAGAGTAATATTTTATTTTTTAAATAGATGGCAAGATACATTGTGTATATTACTACAATTTTAGAAGACACTTTGAATGCTTAGTAATACTATTGGAAGAAGGTATTATTGATAAGAGCATAAAAGATAAAAAATAAAAAATTATTATTTGAAGGTAGTTATAGAAACCTCAAAAATTTCTTTGCCATTTAATCCACACTATAAAACAAATAAATATAGTACAGATAATTTAACATATATTATCTTTGTATGAAGATATTGACATACCTTTGGATATAGTAGTGTTTTTAGGGACTTGAATTAGAAGTAATTGAAGAGTGGTTACTCTTCAATTTTTATGTTCTAAGACAATCTTGTAATTTGAATTCAAGCATGTAATTGAGTGATAGATGGTTCACAATTTCACAATTGGTGCATGTTGTAATGATATGATTTTTATTAACCTTCAACTTAAATGATTTTTTTTTTTTTTTTTTTTTTTTGGTTATAGACATTTCATGCTTTCCTAAAAGATCCGGATTAATTTTTATTTTTTTTCAATGTTATCATGTCTATTCCTTTCAAAATAAAGATAAAGAATTGTATCAGTGGAAAAGAATCTCAGGATTTGCTTTACATGATGGTTGTGTTCAACAGTGCATTTGACTGAAAGTATTCCACAGTGAATTATCCCTCACGTTTCAATTTCACAAACTGTAGTAATCTTCAATGTATTAATTCATACTGTAAGAAAGCCAACATCGGTGTTGTATCATTAGCGCTTCATCTAAGTTCGTTTTGAACCCTGCTGCTCAAATTCTAGCACTTATGCTTGAATGGCAGTTACAGGATCGTTTTAAGTAGTGTACATCTAGTGGTTACTGATCAAAAGATTATACATCTTTTGGCCAACATCCCTGTTCTGAACGTAATGAGAATACCGCTCATGGGTCATTCAGTGATGGAGTTGTAGATGTTCTCAGCCGTGTGGCTTGGAGGACTGTTTTGCCCTGTTCCGACGACTTGTAGCTGATAATGCTGATTCAGTTTAGGACCATGGCAGTATCACTTTTGGCGTGTCCAAGTTTCGCATTGTTCCGACCTATTTCATTCCGAAAAAGAACATGTTAGACAAAATCTGCTATGGAGTTGCAATGTGGACTAGAATGAATTAGCACAACTACCGCAAACCGACCCCACAGAGTCTTAGAGTTGCTGTGCAACTGCACAATTGCATGGGTAGAAGATTAGTGGGAAGAGAATATTCCACTTAGAAAGGTTAGGGAAAGGCAAGCATACCTTCCGTGTGATATTGAAGAAAATCTTCCGTATGAAGGCCAAGCATGGAATCACTCTTGCTTGTCGTGAAGAAAGGCTTTAAGATCTTCATGTCTATTTCTTTGAAGGAGGTGCTGGTAAAAGAAAAAGGGTTAGCTTTCGTGACATGATGATGCTTGTAAAATATTTAGAACATTTCTAAGGTAATTTTGGCCGACTAAACTTCTAAATTCTCTTTTATGAGATTGAGCGCTAGGTGATGAATATACCTCTTGCGGAGAATGTGGAACTTTGATTTAAGATCATGATTCCGAGTGGAGTTTGCTGCAAACTCTTCATTAGAAGTATTTAGCATACTCTCTTGCTCATCCTCAACAATCTGACAGAGCAAGTATTATTTAGTGGAAAGATTCCCTCAAGTGTAAACCAATTTTTCCGAAAAAAATTAGAGGATTGTTAAGGTTTTCACTCACAGATACTTTTGAGTATTCATCTTTCTCCTTGTTTAGATTCAGGTTCTCCAGCATTGTTGACGTGGAGCCTCCAATAACAAGCACCTACAAACAGAAAAAAAGGCAATTTTTCCAAATCTCGCACTAGTATTAGACATTAGAACCAAACTCAATTTTGTTCGAAGACCGAAGCAATCACTAATAGGAGTAGAATGTCCTTACTGTTAGTATGACAATAGTTGTAGTTGTGGTGAAAATAACTTGGCCATGACTATCCTGAAAGTTATGGACTGATTGTAACGCCAAAGCAAATGCCATTGCTCCTCGCAATCCTGTATTGACCACATCAAAAACTCGTTGAGCCAGGAGTAATTTGCAAGCTCATCGTCAGTCTCCGCATCTAGTTCAAACAGGATTTCTTACCACTGAACCATAAAGCATTCTGGTGTTGAATTGGTATTTTCCTGGAGGCGCTTCGGAGCTTATTGATGCAGTATGCCAATGGATATACATTGATCGCCCTAAAGATAAGGTAAACGTCATCCAGAGTTACGTGGTGAATTTTCTGCATAATGAATCTTACATACTCATCTTTTGCAACTTGCTCTCTTTACGATCACGATTATAAACAAACCTGACAAACTTTAGCACTGAGCACCTCTAGCTCACGATTATCTATTTTTGATATTTCAGTTGCAGGAATGGATGGAGGCCATAAACATGGTAGAATAGACGTATTGTATGGAAGATGCATTAACGACATGTAGTAAGCTCACGTGCCTTGCCACCACTAATATAACCTGTTCAAAAGTTCAGAAAGATCTATCATGTCAGAAATAGTAGCAGATGGAGAGTTTGCTATATGCTTCTAAAGTCGCACAAAATAATGTACCATCATTCATTTCGAGGTCACTAAGAAGTCAAATTTTCAGCATCGTATAATCTTTGCAATACCAACGAAACATCGAACTTCCATTCCATTCGCTAGATCCTCGCACTCTCGATTACATCCCAAAAGAATCGAAAAACAGCCAGAAATGAGAAAAGCGTTTGAGCATACGCACAACCGAAAAGAGGATGAAGCTGATGTGCAACCAGTTGCTGTGGCGCTCATTTGCAATGTCCACACCCATATACATAAATCTGCAGTTTTAGATTGGTATTTTGATCAATCAATTATCAAGATAAGAAACTCGAAAAAATGAAAAGTCGTCACATCTTAATGAAATTTATTCATCACAAGACACATCACGGCCAAATACGACAGAAAAGAACGTGCAAACTGAATAATGATTTCATGGTTTAGGGTTCAGATGTGTGCTTACACAAAAGTCTCGGCCAACGACACTATGAGATGAAAGAAGCCTGCCGTGAAGGACTGAGCACTTTCCGAAAGGTTTGGAAATGTGTAGTGTTTCATAAGCTACAAATGCCAAAAAGAATATTGTCCAGTGTCTGTCTTCCTCTCCTAATATATGTACTACAATTCTATAAAGTATTATATTACAAAAAAAAATCCATACTTCTTGGCCAGTTTTGTAAAATTCAAAACATCATGTATTTTCTGTAGAAAGTGGATTGCATCCTTCGATATCTTTACGGTGAACGTAGCTGATGCCAACAAATAATTGTGAAACTACTTCGAACGGTGGATAACACTTACAATGCCGCAGAGGAGTATCGCAACAATTCCTGAGAGGCCTAAACCTTCCGCAAACATGTACCTGTTGAAAACGAAAAGAATCAGAAGGAACACGTCCACCAATGACAAACAACAATAACTGCAGGGAACTTTCTTACACATGTCAGTCGTGAAAAAAATGTAGGGCTTAAGTTTCAAACAAAACAACTAAAAGAAATACATAATTCTTTGAGTTCTCTACATCTACTTATAATTTAATTACAGCGCCGAGAGGAAAATGTCAGGACAAAGAGAGTGACAACTCACGCAAAGTATGGAAATAGCACGATCAGGCAGCATTCTAGGTGCTGCAATCTGCACTCAGATCCAATATTGAGAAATTACGACTCTGCAATGTTTTTGGAACACAGATATCTTTTCTATGGTCCAAGCCTTAAAGATACAGCGAAGAATGAAGAGAAAACATCCTCAATCAGTGATAAATTCTTCTTTCAAGATGCGATAAAATGCGTACAAAAAGAGTTCATAGATGTTACTTACTTGTGAACGTGCAATCCGGCAAACTTGAATAAGTGCCTTGAATTAAGGTCAGCTTTCATATTAGTTGAAAATAAGCAAGACGAAAAATAGAAAAAACCTTGGAATGTAGAGTGTTTCTAAGGTGTTACAACTAAGAGATGTAAGCCACAAATTAAAGCGTACGAAAGTGTTTCGGCACACAGTGAAAGGATATCAATGCGCAAAGAAGCGCCACCGAAACTCCTGTAATGCAATATCCCAGCTAGAATTTGTGGTTCTCCGGAAAACAGTTATATCCCTTATCAATTTCCATGTACGGGCATACTGAGTGGGTAATACAGTATAATGAAAAGAACATTGCTAGCTTGGGCTTCTCAGGGCTGTTGTGAATACCTGAGAAAAGGGATCCCAGGAAGGTGATAAAAAACCTTATAATAGCAATTGTGACATTGTAACTTGCTGACAGATTTTGACGCACCGACACCAAACTCCTGTGGTTTTTTTCCGATCATCAAAATTTATATTGGATCCTAGTATATCATATTCTATGAAACAATGTTCACTGCGCTGCTGCTGTTGGGCATACAAAAATCAATGCAAGCAAACATCATACTAAATTGGACCTTGTTTGAGGTACTACTAACCTATATAACGACACCGCCACCTTCAGAAGTATCCATTCATGCAAAACGCAATAAGACATATCATAAAAGTTTCCAAAAATGACCCAACGAAGGATTTTGGAGCAACATCCATAATGCAATTATTGTAAAAATGAAAAGTGTTATAATAATGATAACAAAAATACAAAGGTTGAGTCATGTGAGCTGTGAGGAAGATAGGCAGCTGAACTGTAAATGCATGTTTTATCTTATTTCGTGAAATGAGATAAATGTTCAAAGCGCTGGAGAGTATATTCACGAGCTTATCCAAAGTATTCGTTCATAGGCATTTAACTTCCTTTATTGGATCATGGTGACGTACCGCATCGTTCAATACGGACTCGCCTAGCACGAGAGCGTATAGGTTCACATCCGTCCCAAGCTCCTGAAGAAGACATCCGCAAAGAAGAATGTAAATACAAAGGTGTCATTTTTTGGGAATTGCTTATGAAGTTTGAAGTTACGGGTGTAAAAATCAGAACTCCAGGTACTCATCAGACTCTGTTCTTGATTGTAAGATCCACTCCCATTTTGTTCTAAGGTGCAGAAACATTTAGAGAAATATGCACAACTGTGAGCTTCGAAACTTCTGTATGATTTGGGAAAACCATGAATAATTGAGGGGAACCTGGAAAACCGCCAGTACAGAGACTGGATCTGTTGCTGAAATGATGGATCCGAAGATACAGCTTTCGAGAAGGGGTAACTTGTACACAAGAGACAGCCGCCCACCAAGATACCTGCAAGGAAATCCAAACTTAGACAATCATACACGAAATTAGAGGATCGCAGAACCATTCGACATTTTTGCTTCAGGTATAAAATGTTCCAAGAAAGTTGAAGGTATTTTCGGAAAGTAGTGCGAGTGCCACTCACACAAATCCACCTGTTACCATCGCGCTTATGAGTGTTCCAAGGATTGCAAACGTGCATATTGCTCCAAAATTCGAGAAAAACGGCCCCTGGGCATGACAAAGGTGACTTAGATACATCTTCTAATTTACCGGCAAAGCTTCTTATACATTGGGAATAGGTTCTGGTAGTTACCGGTTGAAGGTTGAAACCAGAGTCGGTATGAATTTCAAGTCAAGGATATTTTAGCAACAAATACTGATTATTGGTAGCAGAGTAAATCCTAGAATGTGTCCCGGTCAAATCAATCCTGATCACTAATAATTCGTGAACTTCTGTGCGGAACACATAAAATTCTGAAACAGTTACTTGAAGGATATAAGATAATCGGAGGAAGCAAAAACAGGAAGAAGAATCCCTCGTGAAAGTTGAACCAGTTGCTGCAGCCCACCACGTCTAGAATTAGTGTCTAGACTCTTCAAACAAGCCATCGTGCATGCAAATCGTAATCGGAATGCTGCTACAAGTCTCACATGCTTGAAGAAACTTCGGTGCAAATTCAATGTTACACTAATTCACATTCCTTGTAAATGAATCTAAGACTATAAACTGCAAATGTGTGAAAAATGATAGTTTCTTTGATGTAAGGACACCGAAATCGTAGAATCTTCAGGTCTAAATACCTGAATCTGTCTTGTGGATACGTGAATCTTGCAAGGGCACCTACCACAAGGCCTGTTGTTCCAGGTACACGTGAGATTATTTTGTACGAACTGGTCAAAGAAACTGAAAAATCGATGCAGGCAAAATATCAACTAAAGAAAAACAGTGTTTATCAGCTTTCAAGTGAGCACGCAAGCCCAACCTTTGCGCGACAACATTTTAACTGGAAACAGTACTAATTTGTGATAGAAAAGTAGATGCGATCAAGTCAACTAACTTTTCTATACTCAAACATCACCACTGGTAATTAAAATAACCGAGCATGGTCTTTGAGTGCAAAGGTAATATACCAATAAGGAGCGACGCGCTTCCTTCATGCAGGTAGTAGAATTTATGCCTGCGCAGAATATGTCCAAACACAAAAGCCAATCCCAGCATTGAGATCTGGAGGAGAATGCTCAAGCTATCTATCTGCTGCCGTTTGCTTGTTGACATCAGAGCAGAAGCTGAAGCTGACACTGGCTCTTCGCTTGCCATGGAATTAGAAACTATCTCCAATTTCAATCACTTGCTTTACAATTTCTTCAAAACATGCTTCCACAATACAAACATCCCCCGGGACGTTAATGGTACATCATCCTGCGTGAGGTAGGAATCGTGTACTCAAGCTTATTCATATGGAAAATAACGACAAGCACAGTCACTGTCAAATTGCGAAGGAGACAATCTCCATAAAGTTGAACTTCCAAGATATTGACTGGCAATTTAGGATCACCTTCAAACCATATCAATTCTCTGGGATGAAAAGTCTCGACACATTACCAATTTAGAGATACCGGCACAATCCCATACTCGACACGTAAGGATTACTTAAAATTCCAATTTCACTGTCGTTCTTGTGGCACAAACGTTCCAAATTCCATGACGACTGTACATTGTGAAAAGATTTAATGCCACAGCCTTGTCCATTTCCCGCGTAAAAGTTCAACATTCACGAATGCCGGGTTCCACGTATCGATGGCGACAGATCACAATGCACAATTTCACTACTGCATGTAATCTATCAGAAGCAACCAAGCTCATCGCAACATTAAGACGCTGCTGAAACCACTGCACTAGTTCAAAGGGATAACAGCAATAGTGCAAAAAGAGCAAGTCAAAAAGGTTTTCAAAACTCAAGACCGCGTCGGAAGGTTCAATTCTGCATCCAGCATCCCAGTGACACACAATAGGCTACTCTCTAAACGTGGAGTGCACTTCGTCTGTTACACTCTCAGCCATGGAAACCGAGGCCTAGAAGGACATGAGGAAGGTGACAGGATCCGAGGAGGAAGTCTAAACAATCAACAAGACATTGCTGCGAGTACGATAGGACGGCTGAGTACAGCATGTACAGTGAAGTAAATCTGGCTTACCCAATAGATCGCAGGCTTCATCGGCATGGAGCTTCCCAGCCATCGTTTACATATTGCAGCCCAGTTTATTCTTTCCTCTTCGCATACTCCTCTACCAAGAAATTCCTCATATTCATCCTTATTACATAAACTACAAAGGACTCATACGAAGTGCAACAAGTACTCGAAGAGCGGCATATTTCTCTTATTATTTTTTTTCGCAGTATTGAGTCCATGTTTATACAGAGAATATTCCCTTTTGCTGTGGATGTTGCACAAATGAAAATCGCTCACTCACAAACCAGTGTAAAATGTGATAATGTCCAGCATTACGTAGAACCAATTTTCGTAGCCAATTGAGCGTGCCATGGAACATGAAAGTGACCAGACATGCCGTGTTTGACTGAGTAACTACGAAACTGTGAATTGGAGAACCAATAACAACAAACAAACGAAAAAACATAGAAAATCTCAAGATGAAAACGACTTAAACCAGATTCATGTCTCCTGATTCTGATCGGCAGCAAACAGTGCTCTCCCTATACTCAAGCATCATACAAACTGTGCTCGTATCCCCCCTACCCCACTCTTTGACATCGTGGGCGTGTGGCTTCAAACACAGGACCTCGACAATTCAAACTCCTATAGGCCGAGGCATTTCGAGACAGATTCCATTCGTCTTTGAGCATCAGATGGATGAAGGATAGGAGCTGCGGTTGCGGAAATGTGGATCAATAACATTCAATCATTAGGAGCACTTGGGGATGAATGAACGTTGTGAAAGCAAGCCATTTCCTTCCTTCCATCCATCCTCAAAAAGATGGAAAGGAGCTCTGAAAAGAAAAAAGGAAAGGGAGATGGTCAGGCCTAAGGCATCATGTGGGGTGTTCAGATAGTGTACCATCCCAGCTTCGCAGCAAAGGAAGTGAAGCAGATGTTACATCTGTGCATTGTATTTAAACCATGCCATGAGCATGATGTTCATTGATTCCCCCTTTCTCTCACTTTGTCTGCCTGTCCCATGCTCTTGCATGAATACAAAGTTGTATATGTGTGCACTCATCTATAATTTAGGATAATTTGGGTGTAACACAAAGAAACAAAGAAGCCTTTTGATTGGCCTTGAAGAAGGGAATGCAAGGAACATGGGAACATAAGAACAAGGGAATCAAGAAACCAGGAAGTGCAGATTAAGTAAATGAATGGATGTGCCAAAGATTGCAGGTTTCTATTAGCATATATATAATGTTAAGAAAAAGGAGAGGAGAGAGGCAAGTTGAAATAAGGAATACTTTGTATCTAAAAATCAATAGATAGTTTCAATATGTGTGTATATATATATATATATATAGATGTTTCTAGGCTGTTATCAAGTCATTAGATAGCAAAAAATAATTTTAAAGCAACATTCTATCTTTCATATTTATTACAAGAATATATTTTCCTTTTATAAGTTAGGAGTTTACCTACAATGTAACTAATTAGTTGGTACTACAAAACGTCATACACTCACAGTTATGTAGCTATAGTTAATTGGTGATATTGCTGTATAGCTGATGCAACTTATTAAAATATTTTGTGGCCTAATTTGAATTGATGAAATATTTATAGTAGGAGCTCCTTGTTATTAGATTTTCGACAGGTGAGAGATAAAAAATAAAAATGAGGATATCTGTACTTTCTGTTGGCATATACACTTTTAATATTTGGTCATTGCAAACAGAACTTATAAACCTTTTAAGTTATAATATAAGATTAGGATAAAAAAATTCAATGAGTGTTTAATTATACTCTGATATATTTAATATAATACACATTATATTAAATCTCTTTTTAATAAAAACTAAGAATCCTGTTAGCTTCACATTTTATGTGTATTTAATTTAAGCCAAATCCAATGATCACTAATTAATTTTATAAAGGAAAAAATTAAAAATATAGTGCTATTTTTAAAGTATTAAAAGATACATATATAAAAACATGTAATATTTTTTCATACAAAGCAGAAGTTTTAGGAAATAATTAAATAAATTTACTTGATGCAACAAAAATAAACAAACAAAATTTTGGTGATTTGATATTTTATATGTGGCACTTATTTTAAGTACTAACACTAAAAAAATCAAATAATCTTAACATTTTTTTATTCTTAATATAAAAATTTAATAATATTAAAAGTAGTAAAAAAAAAAATAATATTTTTTTAAATAAACACATAATACTACATAAAAATAATCAACAAATAACCAAAATAAAATATGAAAATTCTTTCAAAAGAAATAAATTTTGAAAGAAAATAATTAATTTTTTATTTTTTATTTTTTAATTAAAAATTTAATATTATATATATATATATATATAAATTTTTAAAAATCTTTTATAATTTCTTTTTAAAAATATTATCTTATAAAATTTATACAAAAAATTATTTTTATGATTAATTTTTTAAATATGTTAATCATTCTTCTAAAAAAAATTATAGTTATGCAATTATATTTAAATAATCTAATTAAAATTTTATTTTAACATTTCAAAAGAATATGTAAAATTTAGAAATTCAAAACATAAACATACTTAATACCTCTATAATGTTTTGGTTAATAAATTACAATTATAAAATTAAATAAATAACTATGGCTTTATTAAAATTTTATTTAAAATCCAATGATTGATTATTCAATTGTATAGTATTTATCAAAATATAAATCATTATAATTTATTTTTCTAATTTTACTATTAATTTTATAAATTCTAAAAATGATATAATATTTATATTTTTATGCAAATATATATGTATATATAAATATATTCTAAAAATAATACTTAAAAATTATTATTATTTCTATTTATAATTATAACTTTTTCTATCTAATTTTCTATAATAATAGTCAATGAAGATACAAATATTAAATTATGTTGTTGAATAAAATTGAAAGATTAATACAAGCTCAAATGATTCTTACGTTCAAAAAACAAAAAATTTGCCTCCTGGTGCACTAAATTTAACTCAATATTATGAAGAGAGAATTTTATTTTAAAAATAGACTAGGCCTTTAGCTCCTACTAATTACTCTATTTTAAGTTTAATAAATATATAGTTGCCTATGATTGCAAGTCACCCATAACTATGCAAATTATATAATTGAGGGCTCAAACATTATTTCTATGATTAAACTAGAGTCTTATACTTGTCAAGGACATGAATCTTAAAAAATAAGAAGATCAATATCCTCTTGTGTTACTTGAAAAGGCTACAAAATCACTCAAAGATAATATAATATTAAATTAGAATGTCTATTTCCAAAGACAAGAAGACTAGAAAATCTTGAAATAAGACAAAGGACTAGAAAGGCATTGACAAGAAGGAAGAAAGCCTCACTCTTGCTTCTATATATACTATCTAATTAAAAGCTATATGATGATATTTTTTAGGACCTCTGATACATGTCTAATTTGCAAGACATATGTTTTAACTTGCAAGATAAATTACTTATATATGCACCACATTATTAACTTATACTACAAGCTATTAATATGTGCAATACATGGTTAACTTATTGGCCAAGTTTCTAACCTATCAATCACATATAGACATGTATAAAAATGAAACCTTATCTATGAAGCTTCTAAAAAGCTTTTTCACAAAATATTATCAAATTAATCTACTTTTACATATTCATAATATCTATATAACTATTAGAATAAATATATATGTTTATAATATTATCTTCCTTTTTAATAATGAGTTCCACAAAAAGTGTTGATCACATATTGATAAAATCAAAAATGTAGCAAATTATATTTACTAAATACTTTAATCTTTATTTCCTTCAAAGATAGTTGATAGGTCCTCTTTACCATTAATAATGTTTTATTCTAGGGAAAGAAGACTACCTTGTAATTTGATCATTTTTTATGCCTTTAAAAATTCTTTCAAATAAAACATTTGTAATACCATCAACAGTTGTTTCTATTTCCAATAAAATCATCAACATCAAAAATCTCTTTCGAGGTTATGATATCAAATGCATCATATCTCACTATTTATTCAAAGAAAAACATGCTATGCTTAAAGACCTCCATTTCAATTATGTCATCTTGAAGGCTATGATAATTACAATATCTCATCCAATATTATATTACATTCAAGAATTTTGGATGAAATAATTAAAATTACTTATATTCTTGCTTGAGAATGCATCGGGCACCTAACTATGGAAAGTAAGTAGAAATGCAACAACAATCTTATCAAGTCTAAAAGAGTCTTTAATAAAATTTTAGTAATTTTTAATAATCCTAACTAAATTTTAATCAATCCAAAGTAAATTTAAAAGAAATTACAAAAGAAATACAAAGAAAGTCATAAATTAATTTTAAGAAAAAATGATAAAAAAAATTAAATAAATATAAAAATAAAATATTAAAAAATAATAATCTTTAAAAATATTATAAATAAAATTTTAAATAAATCATAGATAAATCCTAATCAAATCTTAATTAAAATCCTAATTCAAATCTTAATGAATTTTAATCAAATCTTAAGTTAAATCTTAATTAAAATCCTAATAAACTTCAATCTAATCCTAGATCAAATCCTAATGAATTTCTAATAAAATATTAAATCCTAATTCTAGACCAAATCCTAATCAAATTCTAAATCCTAAACAAATCTTAATCAAATTTCAAGAAAATCCTAAATAAATCTTAATCAATTATTATAGCTATTTGAAACCTTAGTAAATTTTAATTAAACCATTGATCTTAACTAAAATTTCATCCAAATGTCAAAAAACAAGCAATTATCAAGAATATAAAATTTGTGAAGAATCAGAATAAGAAATTACAAAAAAAGCTCCCAAAACCTCTTGATTATTGGCCACTTTTCTTTTCTAATTTGAATATTTATCTTTCAATAAAGATTTCTCCTTGCCAAAATATTTAATTTTTCTAAAAATTAAGCCATAATATAATTCAATCAAATATAATTTTAATTATATTCTTAATTGA